CACATATATATATATATATATATATATATAGTCTTCTGCTTCCTCAACTGTGAACGTTCTTTTTTTTTTTATCTGTCTGCTACAAGTGCAGTGCTAAATTGTTGGATTGCACCTTTAAGGGTCTTACAGTAAGTCAGAAAACATGCTTATTTGTCAGTTGAAAATATAGCCTGATGGTGGTGCTCAAGGAATGGCCAAATTTTCACTAAACTTTTTTTCCTTTGAGCATGAACATACAGTACAAAGCAAATTTCACCTCACTTCTCTTTAGTTCTGGAAACATTTGGTCACAAACAAACTGAAGGCAATGACATCATCTTTGGTGGACAAAGCGAATGCTGCAGCAAGCTCAAGCCTTTCACATCCTATGTCTATATGTGTGTTTGGTTGTGTGAGAATAAAATAACTATGAAGATGGCAAAACCCTCTGATCCTGTTTGTTGTATTAGTGCTTGGTGCATGATATGGCAGAAGTTAAACTCATGCAAATGAAACCCATGTGTAACCTACATAGCCATTCACCAGTTCCCTTCAGAAATGCCTCCCTCCACTAGTTCCATGTCCTTGTTACCAGGCAGAATATGATAAAAAACCCTTTTGTGTTCATCATTCATCTTCATTTAATGACAAAGTTACTCACTCTTGGTCTGGCAATTACACTATGATGTTCGGGCTGACTATTATGAGACACAATAGCCAAGTGCAGGATTTCCCCTTGTGGGAAGTTTCCATTCATCATTCTGTTCATTATATGCATGCCAACTTGAAACAGGCACAGGAAGTGTCCAGCGCAGAGAGAGACTGGAGCTCAAAAGATGCTTGCTGAAGACCTTTGTCGAGTGGAATTTAACTAGAGAGATGACATAGTGAGATGAGTTGATGTGATGTGAGGCGCTTGGCATGGAGGAATGGTTGGACGACTTTCTATTTGTAGAAAAAATGACACATTAAAATAGGAGTGGAATCAGGACTTGATATTACATTTTTTACTTATCTGGGTGAAATGTGAGCATGAGAAGAGTGCAGACAGCTGGAAGAGGCCAGGGCATTGTGATGTAGTCTTTTGTTGGACTGTGAAAAATAAGTGGCATTTCGCAGGCAGTGAAGAAAAGGTCTTAAGTTACACAGAGAAGAGAAAAGAGAGGACTGTGGGTAAGAATTATGCTGAGGCAAATCTTTTTTTTTTCACTCTGCAGAATCAGCTGGGGAAAACAGAAAACATCAAACTGTGACCCAGTGGTTTGGGTGCAAGTCATGGAGATGAGAAGTGCAGGGGAAAAATATCATGCACATAAAAAGACATACTGAAACCTGCTGAGGAGGAAAACCCCCACTTTTTTTTAAACTTTTTTTTTTAATTGCGACCTTGATACAAAACAAGTAAATTAAACAGTTCCAAAGCAGCTCCCATCCCCCTCCTTGCCATGTCACGCTGTGTGTCTGACCCACATGATACAGTTGGAATTCCAGATGTTGCTCATGGAATTCTGCTTCATCTCTGGTCTCCAAATGTGACTTAACCCTCCTCACTCCTCCTTCATCTCCTCCCCCCCACCACCTCCAAAAAAGCCTCGTGACTTCTCTCCCCAACCTCAACTCTTCAAAACACGGCAGCAAAGTGGAGACAAATGGGCGCCCTAAATCTTTTCGGCACAATGAGAAAATACCTCATCATTATAATTGCAGACAGCTGAACTGCTGTAATCATAACATATCACAGAGGCACTCGTCCCCACCCACTTGCTTGCTCCTGCAGTCAGTCATCTTTACATTATGTCTAATGTCTGCTTGGCGGTTGTTCATTAGCAGAAACATTAAGGAGGGGGGAGATGCCTAGGTTTGCTGTCTGAGCTTTCACAGACTACTGGTGGTTGAGAGCGCACATGTACATGGTGAATAATGCATAAATTCATTTATAGCTGTGCAACACATGCATAAGAGCGTGTTTGTAATCATATAGTTGCTGTGAAGACCTGCACTAACCACAATCAACCACTCATCCCAAAATGAGAACTTAAGTCTTTCCATTGTTCATCTAAATCCAGCATTCACCCTAGAAAAAGTAGATGTCCTCACTTTGCATGATTTTCTTCATCAACATGTTTGGTGAAGGCTCTTTGTTCCTCATAAGCATGGCAAAACAAGGACGCACACAGTCTCTCTCTTTAATCATATAGCTGAGATATGTTTTCCTGCTGTGCAGCAACAGCTTTACACAATCATCTTCATCCCTGTTTGTACTTAAGCTTTGGATCTAGTCTGTATTTTCCGACCCAGTTTTTGGCCTGCCAGTCCCTGAGCCCCAGCAGAGTGGTGCGGTTGGGGAGCAAGAAACCTGGAGGTCCAGGAAGACAGGGGAAGACCAGATGGAGGAGCGATGGGATCAGTGTAAGTGGTAGCAGAGAAGAGTCCAGGTAAAAGCTGGATAAGTCAACAGCAGCTGGACCTAGATTAAATATTACTACAAGGAAGAGAGCAGACAGCACCAGCAACTTAAGAAAGATGTCAGAAAGAAAGAAAGATTAAATAAATGCTTTACTAAGTGAAAATCAAAGCACAGAAAGTCTTTTGAAATCACTTTATTTTGTAAGAAAAGGTTAAAAATATGAGGACACATAAAATCTCATTGAGAAAACTAGATCATTATCATTATTATTATCATTACTAGTATCATCATTGTTGTTAAACTACTTCTAGCCCCTGACTAGTAATGTAGCACCATGATTTGAAAACTGTAAACAAGTGCAATGACAAAAAGGAGTCATTTTCAGATCTTCCATTTATTTTCATTTGAGATAGAGTCAAGATAAAAAAAAAAACAATCAAGTTTCAAGAATACATAACCCCTTTCCCCATTCACTGTCCCCACATATATAAAATTAAGGCCACTTTCAAAACTGTATGTCACTGTCCAGCAGGACTTTTTAATGACAATGTACAAAAACACATTCTTTACAAAGAGGACAACAACAATAATAGTAATACTAATAATAATAATGATATCATTTATAATAATAATTACCACTAAAGACATTGATATAAAAAAGGAAAAGTATGCTTTACTCTGATATGAATGTGCTTCTCATGCTTCATAACAATAATGTTTATTTCTGCTTTTACTTTTCATACTGGCTCTGACATGTTGCTTTACTGGAAGATTAAAAACAACGCCACTACTTCTGTGGTTTCCAAATGTGTGTGTTTATGTGAGCGTGCACAGGTTAACAAGGGAGAACAATGATCAAACAAATAGTTTGCTTACTCAAAGGAACATGCTAGGATGGGCATCAGGAAGATGCAGGTTTGAAGCGGAAATTCACAAGGACGTAAACACTGACCACTGACAAAACCTAAAAGTAAGACATCTGTAAAAGGCTAAAACAAACAGCAATGAGCTGGCGTCAGTAATCATGAGGAGCGAGGCAGAGAAACAAGGGAGAGAAAAAAGACAAAAGCGGTTGAGAGATAGAGCAAAAGGAATCTGGCAGTGGTGAAAATATCTCAAAATGCAAGTCTGGCACTTTTCCTTCTGCTCTTTTTCCTGTTCTCTTTCTCTCGCTCTCTATTATCTGTATTCATCATTTCCTTCCATAGTTTTTAATTCTCTCCCTGTCTTTCTCCCTCCCCCTCCTTCCCCTCCCTCCACTGTCTACACCTTGTCAAGTAACGATCGTTGGCAGTAGAGGAGTCGGCGTGGGGTACCGTACCGATGAAAAAACACCAAAGCTGCCAGCGTTGCGATCACACAGACTAACAGGAACAGAGGCACCACCACTGCAGCTGCTCCGGCTCCGCCACTTGCCCCTCCCTCCTCATCCACTTCAGTAATCCTTCCCTGTCTCCTTCTCCCTCTCTCTTTCCCACACTCTCTCCCTCTCTCTCTCCCTCTCTTTATCTCTAGTTCTGTCCTTATCCTCCCGCTCCTTGTCCTTTTCTCTTTCCTTATCCTTGTCGTGTCCGCCTCCACCTCTTCCTCCGTCTGTCTTGGGATCGTCATTGGGGCACCTCATCCATTCACGAAGGGCCGATTTGGGGTATCCTGGTTCCACACGCATCATCTGGTTGTTGAACTTCCAGTACTTGTTGGCTTTGTAGAAGTAGGTGTATGCTGAGGAGTGGAAGAAAGAAATGTGAGAAACAAAGATGAACTCAAAGAAAAGCACAGTTCACACTAAGCTGTGAGAAAATAATCTAGATAATATAATACATGAGACACTCACCTTGGTCTTTGCTCATGAAGGCTGCCTTGATATTGTCAGGCACTCCCTGCCACACACTAATAGATTTTGGATAGCCATCGTCAACAGCTCGTGTTTCTTCATTGAAACGGTAATATCTAAACAAAAAATGAGAGTGAAATGGTTAGGGGGCTTGCAATAAAAAAACTTGATATGGACCTAGCTTGAAAGAACTGAGACTTGACTTTACTCTGTATTTTCCTTAAGAACTTAACTTGAAATTTGTTTATAAAGACTCACACCTGACTTGAGCTTTCCTAAAATTGACTTGAGACTTGTTCTGACAAACCTGAGATTTGACTTGTACTTGCAATAAAAGACATGACACTTGTCTCAATTAGCTCCAAACTTGGCCTACACTTTCCCTAAAAGGCAAAAGACTTGATTTGAGCTGAAATGACTTAAACCTGACTTGGATTCACTCTACAATACTTGAAACGTGACATGCGAGACTGTCTCTGACAGACACAGGACTTTGACTCCAGACTTCTCCTCAAAGACTTGACACTTGTTCTGGTGGACTTGCCTTTAAGGATTTGGGACTTGTCTGACAGAGCTGATACTTGAACTGACCTAGTCCTACAGCAACTGGGACTTGGCTTTGACTTTCCACAAAAGACTAAATACTTGACTTGGACTTGATCTAAGTCTTGACATGAGTCCTGAGTTGCAGTTTCACTTGCACTTTCAAACTGATTTGAACAAACACTAAAAGACTCCAGACTTGGCTTAAAACATGTTCAAACAGAACCTAGACCTGACTCAAGACTTTTCTCAGATGCCTTGAGACATGATTTGCTCTTGACCCAGAAATCATAACAACCACCCTGATTCAGAGTGTGTATTTCTGCTGAACTAAAGCCCTTGGCTGACCACAAACCAGTGTTGTTTCTGTAGAAATATGGCAGATGGAGTGGTGTGAGCTCTTACAACAGCTCTGAAAAGACAAGAGATTGAGATGTTGTCTGGTCTCTGGGCAATGTGCAATCTCAGTTGTTTGTTTTGAAAATAAAAACATAAACCTTTCTGAACTGTCAGGGACTACAGTATGTTTATGTAGGTGACTGTTTGCACCATGATAATCACTGAATGCCACATATTACCCAACTCTTTTAGAACAGTGACTATGGTGTAAATACAGGACGGCTCAGCAAGCTTCAAAGTTCCATCATGTTTTGTTTTAATGTTTAGATAAAGAGTAGGTTTGTAATTCAGTTTAAGTGACTGACTTCATATGTTTGAACTTTATACTGTCAACATTCAAACATATCTTTTGTGATGCAAATGGATTTTCCTTTATGAACTTTCAGTCCAGTTTCATCGTGGCGTGTGACACATGCACACACAATGAGGATGACTAACTTGTTTGCTCTGAAGAAGTACGTCTGTCCAGTGGGTGTGTAGTAGAGAGCAGCATCTATTCGATCACTGGGAAGCCCAGTGCCCATTTCTGTCAGACTCTTAGGGTAACCAGAATCTAGAACAGATTCACTGAACACCCAGTACTTGTCCCCTGGAGAGACAGGAAGGCAGAAGGAGGCAGAGTCATGACAAACAAACACAGAAACAGAAAGATAACAGATGTGATATCTGCAAAAGTTCGCCTGTTTGACAGTGACTTGTTTTACTGATGTTCAAATCATGTGCTGTAGCTGTTTTGTCAGTATATTAAAGCCAGACTTACCTTTAAAGAAGACAAATTTACCATCCTCACGTTCAAAAGCTGCATTGATATTAGTGGGTAAACCCCTCCAGAAGTGACCCATTGGCATGGGGTATCCATCCAACACGCGGTTGTGCCGTACTCGCCAGAACCACTTATCCTGAAAGAGAATGACAAAAAGAGATTAAAAATCAGCCCTAGAGACAGACTGTCAAACCAAAACTTCAACTACAGCATGTCAGTGGCTTTACCTTGAACACAAACATTTCTCCTCTGAACATGGCAATGGAATCAAAGTGTCCATCGCAGATGTTGGGGCCAAAGCGAGGCGTGTCTGGTGCATAAGTGGGCTCAGGGTTGTCGTAAGGTGGACGGGGTGTTACAGGAGGGGGCTGAGGGCCTGATCCAGATCCTACATGAACAAGGACATATGAAAATTCTTTAGATCTGACCTTAACTCTAGTCTTTAACGCATCATGTATTTGGATCAGGCAGCTGAATAAGCATGGAAGAGGTTTGATGCAAAAGTGCCACCATTTTGGATACAGTGATAGATTTTTGGTGGCATATCATTAAAGCTCCTTATACCCCAAAGATGTGATAGTGAGAAATGCAACCAGGAATTAGGAGTTTTTAATAGTGAATTGGATAATAACTCCAGCCCACCATAGAGTTGCTGTATGCCTCTGAGGTCATCATCAGGAAGCCGGAAGTTTTCAGTGTCCATCCACTGGTAGAAGGGAGCCATGATGGCTGATGGGTCACTGGAGTGCTCCATACCCAGAGCGTGGCCCAATTCATGCACCGCAACCAGGAATACATCATTACCTGGAACAATGTCAGCACCAAACATCATTTAATGACTTTTTTAAATAAATGAGAGTAAATTGTAAGACATTCAGTAGAACAGGTTTGATCTCATGCTGATGAGATGAGTTATATGAGAGGAGTAAATGTTCCTGTTTCCTTATTTTAAAGTGACTCAAAGTCATGCCATTTCCTCATGAATCTGCAGATCAAAAATAAAAATCAGCTGCTGCAGGTCATGTGAAGTTGGGTTTGACACAAAACAGCTGACACTGCCAAGTTGTGTGTCTGCTGCACTCCAGAAATAAACTTGTCCTTATGTCGGCTGTATTAACATACCCTGGAGCATTCACTCCCCTCAGATGTACTGACACAAGACTGGACATGTTGCTGCCTGTTTTGCTTACAACAGAAAGTCCTGACTCCAGATATACAAAGGAACTCCCAACATTTAAGCTTTTCTTCTGTCATCAGGTTTTAAGGAATTACAAAAAAAAAAAAAAACTTTTATCAACATGGAGCCTCACCAAACAGATTCTGGTTTCCAATTGTCCACGGCTCAGCTTCATCAAAGTGGGTGTCACCACCAATGCCATTGCCAGGGAAATAGGCATGTGCCAGGAAGCCACCCTCGCCATCGAATGGGCTGCTGTCACCATGGAAACCCTCAGCAAAGAACAGCATGATGTCAGCAAAGTCCTCCACCTTATCCCGTATGTAACTGTAGGGAATTTCCCGAAATCGAAGTGGGGTGACGCTCTCCCACACCCTGAAGGCCTTCCTGATGGCTTCGTGGGTCTCGTACTCACCCACCTTCGGCGTGTAGTTCTGTATGCTGAAGAGTATGATTGTTTGTGTGTGAAGGGAAAGGATGGAAAAGGAAGGAAGTTAATATCTCTCCACAGAAGAAAATGTTATTAACTCAATAGTTTCCTGAACTTGCCTCATCAGTTTGGGTTTTCTCAGTTTATGGGGTATAAAGACAAAATTAAACAAGCAATTTATAATGTGAAATAACTTTGGGGAATGTTCAATCGTATTCATGCACAGGCATCACATTCATTTGGAGCCTTGCTGACTTACGAGAAAGTGATGTCTCTCTTGTCCCACTTCAGGCTTTGGATGGCGTAGCGCTTCTTTCGCAGGTTGCTCTTCAGCTCGGCACCAAACTTATCTGGCACTCCACAGCGTGGTCGTTTCATGGCCCTGCCAGACACAAACATGCTCTGTTCACAATAAGGTCGGAAAGAGCAGCTTTGATCTACTTGAGCAGAGCTGTGCTTGTACTAGGCTCTATGTAGAATAAGGCGGTTTGAGGCGCTGTATCTTACTCAGTGGTCTTTTCGTCAAAGGTGCCGGTGACTGTGAGGCCGTAGAACCTCTGCATGGCAGCGATAGCTGAGGAGATGGACTGAGGGGAGCGGAGAGCGTGAGTCCTCATGTCCCCTGGGGGCAGGTAGCCGTACTGCTGCAGCCATGACTGCAGAGCAAAAAAAAAAAGTCTTGTGTGAGAAACATTGCAAAATGATACCAAGGAAACTTAAAAAGAAAGAAAAAAGAGTTTTAAATGGAAACAGGCACAAAAACACTTTATAAACAGGTCACCTGACTTTTGCTGTTGAGGGAACTGTTTGTTAAGATGTTGACTATCAGTTACAAGGACCAGAAGTTCAGGATGTTTTTGCAAGACTGCAGCAAAAACACATTCCTCACTCACAGTGAAAATAATGTCTTTCTGTGTTTTGGTATCTTGTAGCCAGCAGAAGCAACGTCACGTTCAGAAACCTGGCATGCCTCCATTTAATGACTAAACACCAAAGCTATTCAACTATCAACATCGAGCTTTCCAGTGAAGCCCATAGTTAAAACTTAGTTAAACTAGCTGAAACTAAGGTCAGCATGAAAGAACACTGTCAACAGAAACCCTGTAAGTCAGAAATCAAAAGAGGAAACCCCCATGAAAGAGTTGAAGCTTAACTTCAGTTTCTATATTGACATTATTTTCTAGCTGTTTGTGTTTCAGTGCAGATTGCGACATCTCTGACCAGTGTTACTGAGTCTGTACATGCTGAAAGCATTTGTTTAAACCACTTAGGGCACATATTATGGTGGTTGCTGAGTTTTTCTATGATCCAGATCTTTCAGCTCTGTTAAGAATGACCTGACTTTCCCCTGGAAAGTCTTTGCACTGCAGTGCTGCTTTGACATGTGAACCAGAGCCAGCGGCTTCACTGCTCTCGCTCTCCTCCACCTCTCCCA